TCAATTTCATTAGAAGAAAAGTATTTTTACGAAGATGTTGATGAGAGTGAGATTGAGGAAAAGATAACTAGTTTGGTAAATAATATTATCTTTTTTAATTAATTCATTTTTATATTATTATTTTTAAATATATTATTTTATGAGATTTATTTATTCATCTTATTGTTTTATTTTATAGGACTAGTGTGGTTACAGGAGAATGATGATATGGAGCTTAGTGATGATGGAATGATTTATTGTGGTCTTGAAAGATTTTTATCATGTTGGATGAAAGGATGTTCAAACAATTTAGCTTTTTATTGTGGTGATTTAAGCTTTTGATGTTCATCTTGTATCATATATTATGTTTAAATTTAGTTATTAACTTATGCTTGTTTAATATTTGAATTTTAGTTTACTAAGTTTTATATATTTCATAATTTCATCATCTATGGTAAGAATTTGTGAGTTTGAATTTACTATATTTTATGTATTTTATAATTCTATTATTTATGATGAGAATTTATGAGATTTTTACTAGATAAAAAAATAGTATGTACTAAGTTTGAATTTATGAGTGATTATGTTAAATTTGTTAATGCTTGTAATATATTTAGATTATAATTTATTACATTTTTGGTAAATTTAAATAGGTAGTATATTGAATTCGAGTCGGATTGAGTTAAATTCGGGTAAAAAAATATTCTAGCGGGTCGGGGTCGAATTTTTCAATAACAACCTCCGAATGGGTACGGATTGGGTATCGGGTAAAACATTGAAGCATCGGGTCGGAGGCAGGGAAAGCAAAAAACCGCCCCGCCCCGCTCCGATGCCAACTCTAATTGTTAACACCATATTGGATTGGAAGCACAAGCATTCTCATGCTTTTCAAATCATAGGTTTTTTGTTTCTTAACTCTCTATGAATCTTTCCTGCGTTTAACCATTTATTAGAGAACCTAAAAACCCTGAGTTTTTAGTAATTAGGTTTGTGAAAATAACCAGTTAGGAACTTTGGGTTCGAGATTTTTTTTTTTTTCCTCTTTTGCTTTTAAAGCTTTAGGTAGCAGGCAGAAGCAAAGAAAGGTACAAAGATGTACAAAGTAAACTTATTTAATACAAAGTCAGTACTGCAGAAAAGAAAAATGGCCGTCTGGGTCTGGCCCTACGTCCTTAACCTGAACTGCTGTGCTAAACAGGTAAAAAGAGCTCCGCATATTCCTGTCGTGCTCCTTCATGCAAGTTTTCCAACACAAAAAAAAAATGCCCACAATATAAGTAATTTTCAGTGCTTTGCCGACCACCTAACGCCAACCGTTCGTAATGTTTTGCTCCTTGGTTAATTGACTGGATAGATTTTTTATATAATTGAATTATACAGAATCTTAGATTTTTGGCTCTTTGCCTCTTCCATTCATTTATGCATGGCAAAACCATTTTATCCATATTCCATGATTCTGCTTGATACAAGCCTAGCTCCAAAGTCCCAACCTTTGAACGTTGTTCGCCAATTGGCATTCAAAATTTCAACATCAGTTTGCCCAATTGAAAATTTTCTAACCTCTCTAGCTCTTCAAAATTTGGTTCCCAACACCTAAAGAAACTCTCATGATCTCAACTAGAACCTGACCTCTTTTCAGGCTCGACTACAATATCATATCTTTGAAACTGAGTAATTCATGTAAAATCATTGTCATTTCTACTTAGAACACAAGCTTCCTGATAACCTTGATAAAAGTTGAAGTCATCACCAACCAATAAGATAAAAAAGAGTGAAAGTGAAAATGGGTCACCTTAAAATAATTTGGCAACTGTTTTCAACATCAACAATTGCATCCTTTAAAGCACAATGTCAACGCTCTTAATCCATAAAAAAAAACCAACCAATGGCCCAACAAACGAGTGCCCATTAGTGCAAATGGACTAGTAGTCATGGAGTAAATATCGACTATTCTCCGAAAAAAGGAACAGAGAAAAATATGTAGATAAGCGTTGGGACTTGGGACTGGGACACCACTAAAATTTAAAAGCAATCAAATAATGTATTGGTCAAATCATGTTTTTATGATTTCTTTCTCTTATTTTATTTTTTATTATTAATATTTATCCTTCTACCAAATGTTGTCTAGTAAAGGGGCCTCGCTAATTTATTGATTCAAAATATGAAGAGAAAAAAATAATAACAATTTGGGTAAATAATGTAAAGTTAAAAGATAAAAAAAAATTCTATATGCTTTAGTCAGTTATTCGACCTATTATATATTGTTGAATTTTTTCATCATTTACCTAAATAAAAATTTAATTTTTTGCAAATTATAACCCATTTTTGCATGTATAAGAGTTGTTAAAACCATTAAAACAATACAAGATTTAAGCCTTGTAATATAAAACAAATTATAATAAATTTAAGAAAAGGATTTTCATATGAAAATTGTAAATGCATTAGTGATCAATCTCGAAAAAAAACTTATATGAAATTATTAAAGTTTGTGAAATTTAAAAAAATAATTTAATAAAAATTAAAAAATTTAAATTGATAGATTGATAAAGTTTAATGTGAAAATAAATAATATGTAAAAAATTATTAAAAATATTTATAGTTCAAATTTGATTGATATTTATTCAATGATAAAAATTTTGTCAATATTTTTATTAAAAATATCTATATAAAAAAATATATATCTCAATATTTATTAATTTTTTTTAAATTTATACACTTAATTTATATAACAAAAAATTTTAATTTATCAATTTTAATTATAATTTAATTATTTTTAATTAAAAATTTCAAGAATTTCATTTAAAAAACTTCGTTTAAATATTTTCTAATCAATCTCAACCTCAAATCTAAGTTTTTTTTTTTTTTTTTATAAAATAAGTTGTAATTTTAGATAAGAGAAAATTTTTTAATAGAAAAAATTATAAATATTAAAGTTTAAAATTATTAAATATTAATAATATTTTTAAAAATTAATTATATGAATAAAATATCGGATTCCTAACTTTTTTTTCTTAATTTAATGATTAAAAGATAAATTAAAAATTATATAAATGTAATTCGACTCCGTCATTTCCCCTTCCTTCTCTGTAAGGACACTAATCTTCTTTTGCAATAAAAAAAAAATCGGATTTCAATTCATAACGTTAGTAAAGAGACAAATCTGTCGCTTAAGGAAGGTACCTAACTTAATTAAATGCTAAGAAAAAATGCCACTATGGAAAGGAAAGAAGGCAGATAATAACATTAGGAAGGAACGAAACATAGCCGTGATCAGCTGAAAACAAAATCCTAGCTGTCAGAAAAGAAAACGGGATTGTCGGTGGAGCTATGCTGACGTGGTAACATAGCTGGTATTTCTGCCGACACGTGTGGCTCCCACAGCCTAACCACTCTTATTAATCTCCAACAATTCACAAAATATATTTGTTTTAAACTACAAAATATTAATGAAAGGGCAAGTCCGGCATTCATTAAAAACCGACATCGTATTATCTTCAAATTAACTACTTAGTGTAAGAAAATACTATTTTTTTCTCACTAGAAAAAGTGTGCAAAGTACAATAATTTATCCTAATGAATAAAGTAGTTTTAAGTGTTTAGATTTAGATGGTAAATTTTAATTTTCTTTTAAGAATGCAGATGAAATAAATAATTATTTAAATATAAATATTAAAAGTTAAATAACTTCAGGCACAATTTTTTTAGAATGGAGAAAAAAAATATAAAAAGTAAGTTAAAAATTATTATAATTTTATTTTTTAAAAAATAAATTATTAATATGACTTTATTAATATATTTGTTTATTTTATAATTTAGTTTTTAAGTACTTTTTCCAATTGAGTTGACATCCAATTAGTTCGTGATATCAACTCAGTCAATTGCTTTAATATTAATGTAAATAATTTTTTAGATGAAGAAAAATAAGGAAAATTGATTAAAAATGATTATAACTTTATTTTTTCAAAATGTTAAATTACTAATATGATTTATTAATGTAGCATTTATTTTATAATTTAATTTATATTTTTAACTAAATTGATGTGCAATTAATTCATAACATTAATTCAATCAATCATTTCAATATTATTATTATTATTATTATTATTATTATTATTATTATTATTATTATTATTATTATTATTATCATCTTTTTGAGAAGAATCAAATGCCCTTTCTTGCATGGTCGAGCGGTATGAGAAAAAAAAAAAAAAACGAACCATGCCATATAATTCAACAAAAAAAAATTATGCATGATTTGAACTTGATTAGCAATAATTGAGGCAGCCTCTTTTTCAGAGGACCCACGAGAACTGCAACCTTCTATCTGTCGGTGGCTCTGGCGCGTGTCTACGAAAATGAGAAATCTACTCTATTGGTCTGCCTGTTTCTGGCTGCGCTTCCAGATTTTCGGATGTGCCAGAATGCATAGTATTTTTTTTTCCCATTACCTAGAAATCTGAATAGCAAGACAAAACCCTAAATTTGAGATATTCTATCGAAGATATTGACTCATTAATATCATCTTTGTCCTGAGTTATTGCACCCAACGTTGCTTGCTGCAAAAGATGATTGGTTCCTCCCATTCGTGTTCATTAAAAGTTGAAAGAATGTTATGTTCAGACACAGAAGTATAAAACATATATGTACTTTCTTCTTTTATTTTGTTTTACGTGTGGTACACTTAATTTTCTCATTCAGACTATAGGAACCCAGGCAACCTTGAAACCAAGGAAATAGAGATCAAGTTCCGACAGCCTGCTTGCTAGAAACCATGATTTACTACAGTCATGGGGAAAAATGAACCATCCAAGTTTACTTGATTCCTTACAGTTCCATTTCTGTCAAATGGGATATAAAAGTCCCAAGTGAATATTGATCATTGAAGCTATGCAAGGAAGGAATCATAGCCGTTAAAGTGAGGACAAGGGACCCACCTAAAATGTAGATGCTATTCCAGCCACTGCTTAGTTGGCAGTGATCTCCCAACGTATACTCCAAAAACTCCCCAGCTCACTCTACTTAAACACAAACACCATCACAATCTCTCAAGTTCCATACCCACTGTTAGTCTCCTCCACTCCCAAGCCAACACCTCTCCTCCATCATGCCACCACTAACCACTCTCTTCCCCTCCCTTGCCCTCTTCCTCCTCCTCCTCTTATCCTCCTCCACGACCTCAAATGCACACAACATCACACGCATCCTTGCCAAGCACCCTGAATTCTCCACCTTCAATCACTACCTCACCATAACTCACCTGGCTGCAGAGATCAACCGACGTGAAACCATAACTGTTCTAGCACTTGACAATGCTGCCATGTCATCCCTCCTGGCTAAACAGTTCTCCCTCTACACCGTCAAGAATGTCCTGTCTCTCCATGTTCTTGTCGACTACTTTGGTTCTAAGAAGCTCCATCAGATTACCAACGGAACAGCTTTGACTTCTACCATGTTCCAGGCAACGGGTTCTGCTCCAGGTTCCTCAGGGTACATCAATATCACTGATCTTAAAGGCGGAAAAGTTGGGTTCGGTGCAGAAGACAACAATGGAAAACTTGATGCAGTTTATGTGAAATCTGTAGCTGAGATTCCTTATAATATTTCTGTCTTACAAATTAGTAAGGTACATATTTAATTTTTTCTGTTATAAGTCTTACATCAGTTAATTACTGTGCTCTTATATTCAATTTAGCATCTCTAGTTATTATCAATTGGTTTTAAGATGCAAAAATATTTCTTGATGTTAGTTCTTGCATTGATGATTGACTAATGTTTAATGTTGTTCCAGGTTCTGAATTCAGCTGAAGCTGAAGCACCAACGGCAGAGCCAAGCCAGCTTAATCTGACGGAAATAATGTCAAAGCAAGGCTGCAAAGCCTTTTCAGACTTGCTGAAAGCTTCAGGAGCTGATGCAACATTTAACGAAAACATTGATGGAGGTTTGACAGTGTTTTGCCCAACTGACCCTGTTATCGATGGTTTTATGCCCAAATACAAGAATTTGACAGCATCCCAGAAAGTGGCCCTGTTATTGTTCCATGGCATTCCTGTGTATATGTCCTTGCAAATGCTGAAATCCAACAATGGGATTATGAACACGTTGGCAACAGATGGAGCAAACAAGTATGATTTCTCCGTGCAAAACGACGGCGAGGTCGTGACATTGAAGACCAAGGTCATGACTTCAAAGATTACAGGGACTTTGAAGGATCAAGAGCCATTGATTGTGTATAAAATTGACAAGGTGTTGTTGCCTAGGGAGTTGTTCAAGCCAGTGGAAGCTGCTGAGGCACCAAAGTCATCCAAATCCAAGCACAAGGCAGCAGATGCACCAGAATCTGATGCACCAGCAGAGAGTGACCCAGCTGATGTTCAGACGGCAGATAATGAAAATGGGGTTGTGGGATTGGACGGTGGGAGATTGATAATGGTGTCGTTGAGCTTGTGCATTGGGGTGTTGTTGATTTGAATATAGTGACATAGAAATATTTGATCAGATTGATACAGATTGCATCAGAGAATACTTTTTAGGACATGGGGTCGTTATTCATGTGAGAGATTTGAAGTTTTCTTTTCTTGCTTTTGTTTTCTTCCCTCTATTTCTCTGGTGGCTTGTGAACAAAATAGCAATAAGTGATTAGTCCCACTTGCATTGGTCCTTTTCTTTATTTTTTTTCATGTCTGTCATTATTTGCTTGTATAGAATAGACTACAATCAATGCATTTTGGTTGAGCTGTAAATGCAATATTCTTTTCTTCTTATTTTGAATTTTTTAATTTCCTTATGAGCTGTATCCAAATTAATCTATATAATTATGATTATCATCTGTTTAGATCCAGAAAGAAAATATAAACGTGACTTTTCTGGAAATTCCTTTTCCTTTTTCCATCATTCCATCATCCCAGAAAGAAAACACATTGTCTTCTTCATTTGTAGTATCAATGAAAAAAAAATCCCTACTCAAGAATCCTAAGTAAATTACATTTTGCATTTCAGCCTAAATACTAGTAACAAGATAAACCAAACCCAGCTGATGGCCCGAAAAAAACCCAGCCTCAACAAGATGCATTGACATAAGTAAACATATAAGAAGCAACCAATCTAAGCACTGAAGCACAAATGCAAAAGCAACTCATTGCATTGACTCATTCACAGCAACTTAATAGACACAGCTACTCATTATCTTTGTAATTCTAATGCCAAATCACCATCAACTACTGCTCAGTTTTCAGTTGCAGGCTACACATGGAGTAAAAATGAAAATTTCATCACGCCTATCAGTGATAGGGAGTAGGGGCGTTGCTAGCATAACCAGAAGACTCTGTTGGCCATCTCTCAAACCCCTTGCAAAAGCACACCATCCACGAGGCCCAGGATGACTATCCAAACCCAGACCATCGTCCCACTTCATTCGCACAACGTCTCGTGTCCAAACCATAAACCTCTCTAGAAAATTTCCCAGCACCAAGGTGACCCAAGTCACTAGGATCCACTTACCCACAGTATATGATTATTCATATGGCAATCCCAATTGTTGAAAATACATTTTGGCCCGTTGGTTTCTACCCACTCTTCCCTAGTTGGGACCATTGTCCTCGGACTGGATTAAAGCAATGCACATCATCCATTTCCATTCCTGAGAAGCCATACACAACCCATATTTTTTGTTGGATCACGGCCAATCCTGGCCCACCTCTACCCTTGCAGCTATCTCCACGGGTTATTGATAACTTTTGGTCAACGGTCATACGCCCAAAGATCGCTAAGCCGACCGGCAACACCACACGCGCCGAAGACATACTCGTGTCGATCATCGGCTGTCATCTGGTGGCATCTCTGATGAGCTGGGCTGCTGTCATCGTTTGGATAAGAGGGTCCACTTATTTGTACACGTATCAAAAGAGTGGAACTCTTTAACCCCCTTATGTTTGCTATCCCTACCACCAAACACAATGATGGTTTCACCGACGGTTGCCATTGTGACACCCACACGTGGAGGCGGGACATTACCAGTTACATCGGCAATGGACCATGATAGGGTATTGAGATCAAATACATAGAGCTTGTTGTCAACCGGGACTCGGGGTGAACTCACCTCCAAAGACAGGCCTTTTGTCCTACAATGGTTAGGGCATGTGAGCTTCTCGCTCCAGGCCCATTTCCATTCTAATTAAGCTGATACAATCTTACAATTCCTAAAAAGTGAAACTAGAGGTAAAAAATCTCATAAGCTTCAATTGTTGCAATAAATGTAAAGAGGAAATGCAGAAAATCTCTTATTCTCTCCCACTCCTACTTAATAGAAATTTCTTATGTTACTTTGGAAGTTTCAAATTACATAATTTCTGTGAACAGAAAATGGAAATCCAACAAATTAATTGCGAAGGCATTATACTACTATTAAGTGATAGAAAAACAAAATACTGGGTCTCGCCTACTATCCTCAAAGTACCATATAAGCAACCCCTATTGGGCTTTCTATGCTTGACCTTGAGTTTCTATTGTATCAGCATCTACATGTATACAATCAGAGTTTATTCATTATTAGTAACCTTGTTACTGCTGTTTATAGTTTGTTCAGATCTCTGCTGTTGAGGTACAAGTAATTAGTTTTGCCAGAAGTTGTGGTAGTAGGAATTGGGGAAAATCCGGCGTAGTCCTTCTCTAACTTTGTTATACATACTTTGGCAACAATTCCAAAGGCATCATGTTTCTGGATAAATGGTTGGGCTGCATATTCATCAAGTGAAATCCACTGAAAAAAGGGAGATAAGATTAAAAAAAAAGAAGGAAATATCAACACTTGTTTGTTAACAAATTATTAGAGATGGTTAAGCTCGTCCCAGCATTGGTAAATGAAAGTAGGCTATCTTTCTCGGCAACTTAAACAATCCAAGGCAACAAGAAGTTGAGTGTGGCTAAGGCGTTTTTCCACGTTTCAATGAATTGATGTTAATATAGTTTTGTTAAGAATAGTGACTCAAATCTCATAAGAGATTTATTAGATATTGATAAGATATTATTTGATAGATAAAACATTTATAAAAGAGAAATTCTAAGAGAAAATTAATTTTTAATAAGCAAGTTTGTATAATTATAAATATGTGAAATTTTTATAAAGTTAGATATAAAAAAAAGATATAAGAGAGTTGCAAGATTTTATTGGATAAACACTTTATAGGATTACAGAAGATTAATATTTTTATGGATGTATATGTACATCTTTATGGGTGTATATTTTATGAGTGTGGATATTTGAATGGATTGAAAGATAATGAGAGGGTTTACATAAATGTTATGGATAAGTGCACATAGATATGTATTTGTTTTGGTTAAGAATACTCTATAGAATAAAGAATAAGAGGAGAATGAGATGATTTATGTATATTGATTGTGAGTGTTTGATCTGATATTTGTTTGTAATTCTCTAATGGATCTTTTTTTCATCCATAAACATAGGTCGATGGAAAGAAATTACGTTAAATTATTATCTTTTGTATAATTGATTAAATGATTGTTTATACTTCTGCTAACTTGATTGTTGATGTGAATTGGGGTCTTTAGCCAAACACTTTTAGATCTGAATTAGAAAAAGTGCATTATTCCAAAAGATGTAATTGCAAGAGCAAAATATCTAAGAATTAAGATGCAGGGAAGGGGACTTTTAAGGATGGCAGGACAGTGCTGACTGTTGAAATAAATACCTATAGAAAAACTAAGACTAGATTATCCACCATCCGTTACATTGTGCTAATAGGATCCTACAACTAGCAGTGAGTGTCCATAAGAATGTACCTGGGCAGCTTTAATCTCCATATCTTGCTTCTGAATGTCAAATGAGTTTGGACGTAAAATGCAAACAAAGAACAAATCTGATTTTGTAAAGAATGACTTGTGGCTTTGCCTGTATTTGCGGAAAATAAAAGAGAGACGTTATTAAAATGAAAGCAACTAGAAGCACAAAACTCTTACTGAGATTTAATGACATCATAAATCTGAAGCTTGTGGCCTAACAAGTTTTAGAAAGCAGCATTCTTTCAATATGTCATCTCATAAAGAACAGTCTATCGTTCATTTTGCCAAACAATTTTATACAGATATCAGTGGAACCATCAATATAAAGGAAAGCACCCACCTAAATGCTAAAATTTCCACAAATTCTGTGTCGATCTGAAGGAAAACAAACACCGTGGTTAGATTCATGGCAGCCAGAAACCTAAAATTTATACAATTTCATATTCATTCAAATAGGAAAACCCATTTTCTCACTCACCCCTGTCTCTTCTTTAACTTCCCTGACTGCTGCCATGGAAATATCCTCACCCTGTGGACAGAAGTTTTAAGTTCAAGGCAAAAAGACAGTGAAACATCATGTTCGTAGTCAACTCACCTCATTGACAACACCGGTAGGGAATTTCCATACACCATTGCCTTTGAACTTGCCATTCTTCTCTTGAACTACAAGCACCTGAACTCAAACCAACCAATTAGACAAATCAGAATGACTAGCCAATTCAAATATCTGGTAGATAATCCAGGTCATAAAGAGTTAAAGAAAAGTCTACTTTTCAACCAAAGGGTGTTTCTCTCGGATTGGTCAAAGGTTGATTTCAGCTGTTTTTCCATATTATGGATAAGTAAACCAGAAAAAGTCAGCAAAAATTGAAGAAAGGGTACCTCTCTTTTGTCATTCATGACAAAAGCACCAATCCCCACACGATGTGAAGCATTTCCAGGAAGAGTATTGGTAGAATTACTTATCCAATTGACAAGCATTAGATAATCTGGTTCAGCATGGTGGTATCTAAACCCTTCCTGAGTAATTTACAAAGCAAAACATGAATTACACGATTGAAATGCTCAAAGCAAAAGAAATGAAGAAGATTAATGAACAACAGTCTGATTTTAGAAAATCCTAAACCGCAATCTCATATTCAGAATTTGACATTGTCAGTAGCTATCGATATTTCATTATTTGCCAAGAAAATACCTTGACCGCTGGTTCAACCAGATTAACATATTCAATAGGCAATTTAATCCAAACCGCTCTCTTCCCCTGCAAAGGTTTGTGATTTGCCAATTAAAATCACTTGCATTAAACAGCAACCTCTGAAGGCTTGTGGCTATTAAGCATAATAGCAGATGGATGGAATTACAGACCTGTTGCTTCCATCGTGATTTTGAAGCTCTAAGTGAAGAGGCGAAGGCCTCAGAACCCATAGGTTTCTCCATGTTTACAATGACTCCACCATGCAAATCCTCGACCTCAGTAAGTAATTCAACCTGTTGAACTTCGTTTTGAGGTATCATCTGCTTTTCAATTGCTAATGCACTTGTTGAAGTCGACATGTTGATCTGTAGGAATTAAAAAAAAAAGGGTTTTGATTGAGTTTACGCTGTGAGCCAATATTTCCTCCAACAATCAATTTCAACCAAGACACTGATTCAATGAAGACCAAAATCTCTGAATCTGTCGTAGTTTCTTTTTTCATATTAAAGAAAACTGAACTGATTGAAAAGGATCCATTTCAAAAAACAAACTTAAAAATGGTTAAAATGGTGAAATCCAAGGAAGTGGACAGCTTGGAAAGAGAATTTCATGGGGCAAAATTAGATAATAAAACTAGAGTAAAAACACTTTTACCTTTTGACAGACAAACCAAGATATGGGTAGAAAGTGAACAATTCCAAGTCAAACAATCCTGGGAATTGTAGGCTGTACTGATTAGGAAGATGTTGAAAAGGACTTTGTTGAAACAACTTAGTGAGGATGAAGTTTGCCTTGTGTTAAACTCTGCATGTAAATCAAATAATAGATTTTAGCAGTTAGTTGGAAGGTAGGTATAAATACAACTTCCTTCCTCTCAATCAACCTTACACATATGAAATTAAATAATGATTCTCAAGCTCCACACTTATAGTTTTGTCTTCCGTACTATGTGGGATTGAAAAAGACTTTCAGAAAATAGGAAACAACCATGCAAGATGCAGAGAGCCAAAGAAAAATACGAGTAGTAAAGGCTTCGACAAATCGAGGAAAACGTCGAGAAAGAGGAGAGGATGAAATTTAGGACTTTTCCGAGATGGTTTTAAAGCACTACGTTGAAATCCATGTGTAGAAGCGTGTGTACTAGCAGTGCCTCTTTTTTTCCGCCCGGAGTTGAACCGAAATGTGTAGTAAGTTTCCTACGAAAGGTAACTAGAAGAACAAGTTCAAGTAAATTACGTCACACATGCATTTATGATTTTTATATGATATTTTATTTTTATTTATAATTTTTAATTTAATTTAATAACTTTTAAGAATGCTAGTAAAATCCAATTTTAAATTTAGGACAAGTGCTTTCCTTTATATTCAAGATAACCCTTTTTTAGATATAGTACAAGAGCTTTTCTTTGTATTCAAGATTTAGGGTTTTGGCTTAAGAAATCACTTGTTTAAGATTTAGGAAAATTATAATTTAAAAAAATTCTTAATGCTAACGTTATAGATTTAAAAACCTGACACGTTAAGCGTAAAGGTTAGATGGGACAAAAAGGACAGGTCACATAACATTACTATTGATTTAATTTAGCAAACTTTTGGCTTTTGGATACATTGAATGATTCATGTATACTAAAAAATATGTATTTTTTAATATTTGATCAAATATTAAAGAATAATATTTATTTCTTTTTTGTTTTTTTGCCGATCATTTATATTTCTAGAAAATTTATTTAGCAAGGAAACGAAGCAAAAATAATAAGCAGGATATGTTATTATTGGATTAAGTTTAACTTCGAGAAGAAGGAAAAAATGGAACTCTCCTATGAGCCTGAACAATATCAAAAGTGACTTCTTGAAGAGAACTAAAGAGAAATTTGAGCGTACTAGGGGTTAGATCTGATGGTGGCTTGGAAGATTTGGATTCAACTACGGGGACCAATGCAAACGCTGATAAGGCTACAACTAAAAATGGAGGGAAGTTTCCTTATCGTGATACCTAAGTTGGGTAATAATACTGTAAACACTTAATTTGGTTCAAATCTGAATCAATTAGGTCTGATTCAAATAGAGAAGATAAGCCCACATATTTTATTTTATTTTATTATTATTATTATTATTAGTATTATTATTATTTTCCTTTCCAATTTATTACTTATTATTTTATTATTATTATTATTATCATTTTTTTATTTTATCATTTTTTTATTAATTAGGAGATAATGATCAAATTAATTAAAAAAATATCAAAAAAATGTAGAAGTAGATTTGGCTGAGAATTTTGGAGTTGACAGAGTTGAGATTGGATTTAAAAATTGAATCTCAATTTCAGATAAAATTAGGATTGATCAAAAACTCTTATGATCAATTCCTATAAATAAAGGTTGGAATATACAGAAAAAAGATCTAGGAAAAAAGACAGAGAGAAAACAAAAGTAAAAATAATGTTTAGAGGCAATTTAGAATTTTTAAGAAATTTTTTCAAATTTTTTGTGTTTTTTTTTGGGAAATTCTAGAAATTCTAGATTTCGAGCAATTTTTCGACGACATTCAAGTTTTTCGACTAATATTTGGTGAAAAACCCAGTTTTTGGTGTGTTTTCTAGATTGCGGTAGAACATTCAACTGAATATGAGTTCTGTTTAGAGAAAAAGAGAAAAAAAGAAGAGAGAGAAGGAAGATGCATATGTTGAAAGGCTGAGTTTTTAGCCTTATATACCTGTTGAAATGACGTCGTTTTGGCATTAGTAAACCCACAGGATCGCGCATTTTGTCAAGATCCGACCCGACCCGTAGCGCACTCGAACCAGCGATCCGCTTCTCCGCCTGGGTTTCAAGTGAGCCAAGCCGAGCCGTTTCCTGTCGAGTCACACATTTGAGCCACTTCTGTCTCTCAAACTGAGCGGAATCGAACCGTTTCAAGGTTTTTTTTTATTTTTTAATTTATATTATTATTATTATTATTATTGAATTAGAATTATTTGGTATTCTTTAATTTTTGTTTTTATTTTATTTTTATTTTATTTTTAATGATTTTTATAAATAAAAATTCCAAAAAAAAATTTTTGAGGAAAAGTTGAAAGTATCAATTTTCTTGAAAATAATTTTTTTTTTAAAAAAATATTTTTAAGGGAAAGTTGAAAGTATCAATTTCTTTGAAAATAAAAAAAGTTTAAAAAATATTTTTAGGAAAAAGTTAAAAGTATCAATTTTTCTTAAAAATAAAGTTTCTAAAATAAAAATTTTCAAAAACATTTTGGGGGGAAAAGTTGAAAGTATCAATTTTTTTGAAAATAAAAAGTTTAAAAAATATTTTTAGGGAGAAGTTGAAAGTATCAATTTTCTTTGTACAAAAGCAATAAGCTTTTTTAAAATGAAAAGAAAAAGATTTATATCAAAAGATGAATCATTATTTTTTTTATTTTTTTTATTTATTTTATTTTGTAATTTTTTTTGTTAAATAATCCGACGATGGAGTCTCTGCAAGTGAAACAATAGTTTTCTTGCATACTCTTGAAGTGAAGAGATTTTTTTTAATTTTCTGTCAAAAGTATTGGAGTCAATTAAAAATAATTTCTAATAATTAATTACTTGATAAATTTTTTAGGCTTAATGGGTAAACAAAATCAAGCCGGTACCATCCTTCGATGGGCATTGTGAGGGTGCTATAACCTTCCTCACTCGTAATCAAACTCCCAAACCCCATTTGGTTGATAAACCCGAACCTATTCTTTTAGGGACCCTTAGTCAAGCTTAGGTGTTCTTTGAAATGATAGATTCCTTAGGTGGTCAATCGCACATAAACAAAAAAGATTGATGGCGACTCTTTAAGTCAATGTCTAGCGATAAATCCTTAGATCTAAATATTATGATAGTTGGTGACTCTACTGACAAAAAATCGAGAGTCAGACCAGCAAATAAATTTATGTTATCCAAAAGCTTAATAAATTTAAACCTTTTGTATAGATTTTTTATTCATTTATATTTGTTTACTTTGTTAATTATTTCATTTATATACATGTGCATAATATGAGCTCTATACCCAAGCTCTGTCCCTCTAAGAGGGAGTAAAGTACCTATTACTTTCGTGAGATTTTAATACCTCCGTAGTGGCTAAAGAAATACTCCCACTCAAATTGAACCTTTTTCGCTTGTAGCTTGTAATGGGTGAGGATTGAGGTGCCTTACTAGGCTGTAATGAACGATGATGTAAGGAGCAATTTGAAAACCTTTAGACTTTAACCTCAAACTACATATAGTGGACCTTAGAAGTGCTTAACCTATAGATAGAGCCATCTCTTTCCTTTTAGAATTGACTAAAAACATAGGATTCATTTCTCTTATTGTGTGTGACGTTTTATTTTTTTTTATTTCTTCTTATGTGATGTACTAACCTCTTCTCTTATTCATGTTTGCATGATTCATGCTCATATCATAGAGTTGCATAAAGAATATTTACTTGAAATACGATCTTCAACAAAGAGTTTTTCATGGATTCCATAGAACGATTAGTTTGCTCTTCGTCTGTATTAGCTCATTGTGAGTCACCCAACGAAGTAAATGTCCAGTCAGAAAAGATTCAACTAAAGAAAGGGGATTGTCTACCGATTGGCTATGATTCCACTTTGACTCAAGAAACATCCATCATCCTTAAAAAAATAAACTAAAGATTTGGTTGATATATGAAAGAAAATGAGTTCAGCTAGACAAGAGGAGTTCTGCTAGAGGCATGGACATATAGCACACCTCTTTGCAGTGAATGTCGACAATCAATTAATTAGAGTTGCTATGCAATTTGGAATCTTGCATACAAGTGTTTCATCTTCAATGAAGTTGATATGACACCCACCATTGAAGAATATTCAACTTTGTTGGGTTTGCACCTTAAGGCTCCTGACAAGATATATGTTAAAAACACAAATAAAGATTTCGTAAGAATTTAGCCAATCTTATGGGGATAGATAAAGAGATCGTGGATTCTTAAACAAAGAAGAAACAAGAATAGGTTTACCTCATTTGGAAGTTCTTTCATGATTTCCTAGTGCAACATGCCGACGAAGAACGAGGTTTAGATGTATTTGCTTAGCTACATATGGACTGATGATATTTTCAAAGGTTTTGAGTTATATTGAAATAGCAGTGATTGACTTCTTTAAAAGTGTGATCAATAATTGTAACCTTTCAATGGTAATATTAGCAAAGACTGTCAGATCTTTAAGTTACTATCGTCAAAATGATGGGCATTTTATAGGTTGTATACAGTTATTATACTTATGGATGAAAAGTCACTTCAAGTAAAAAAAAAGTGTTTTCTCGAAGCTTTATGTTCGCAGTCAAGCTTCGATCAAGGAATTTTACGAAAGTGGATGGTCAGAATAGAAGTCTAAAAAAGAGTGGGTAGCTTTCTTATAAAAATTGACAAGCATTGAAGTAAGATGGTTGGTCCCATGGATGAATCGTGAACCTATGTTATATCAGTGTGAAGATAATACTGTGGTTCCATTACTGGGTTTATGGAAAGCAACAAGTTATGCACCACTTCTAGTGAAAGGTAGTTTGAGGTAGAACAGTTCATTCCTATGACGCATGAGCTTCATCAATCAAAATTTTCTTATAATAAGCCAAAAGCATTTCAGAGGATGAATGATGTGATTAAGGCATGAAAAAACCCTCGTAGAGTGAATTTTGGATTGTTCATTGATAAAGTCACTCAGAGGTACTTGATTTGGAGAGCAAGATGAAAATAAAAATGGTATTCACTTATGAAAGCTTTCAACCCCTAATAGGAGAAATGCTCGAAGAAACACCATCAGAATTAGAACTTGCAAAGGAAAGAATTCAAGGCCGAAAATGATAGGTTAAAGCAAGAGATCAGAAGCTTCGAGAGGAGAAGGATCAATGGAAAGATAGAGCTGAAAAGCATGAAGTCAAAGTTTATAAGATTGCTAGGGAATGTGACACAGCTGTCTAAGACTTATCGGAGTTACACCACGAACATAAGAGGTTATATGTGAGGGTACAAGCCAAAGAGATAGCAATTATTGAGCTAACTGAAGAAAATACGTGATTGAAGCAAGAATATACTGAATTGGAAGAAGAAAGC